ACTCAGTCACATGGCAGGCAAGCCACTCCCACCCGGTCACATGGCTGGCAAGCCACTCCCACTCGGTCACATGGCCGGCAAGCCACTCCCACAAAGCAGGCCACACCTACAGAAGAGGTTCTAAAAATTTTTGAAACCCACCACTAGTGTGTGTATGTGTGTGTGTGTGTGTGTGTGTGTGTGTGTGTGTGTGTGTGTGTGTGTACATACCAGTATATTTATATATACATATATTGTATACATACCTACATACATACATACATACATACATGTACTGGAGGTACTGGAGGACAACTTTAGGAAGGGCCATAGTTATGTTCTATTATTTCTCTTTTGATTAATTACTCATTCTCAGTTTTTCTTTGAATTCAAATCCATATATAATTACAAATATTGTATACAGTTAGTCCTTAACTTATGACAAGTTGCTTAATGATTAGAGTTACAATGGATTAAAAAAAAAGGTACTGATGACCCATCTGAGGAGCTACAACTACTGCAGCAGTCACGAGATCGCATTTTGAGTGCTTGGCAAACAGCTCACACTTACAACCAGTTGCAAGGTCATGTGATCACATTTTGCAATGTTTTTCACTGTTTTTTGGCAAACAAAAACCCATTGGATAGGCTAGATTCAGACATATGACATATGATTTGCCCAACATACCATTTGACAAACAGTTGTAAAATGGAGTCTGTCACATGATAATGTGACTTAATGATTGTAACAACCTACTGTATCACCAAAATTCCAGATTCAGTTGTGGTTGTAAGTCAAGGCCTGATACTTACATTTGTCCACTAAAGAAAACATACACACAAATGTTTATCCAAAGAAGGATCGCAAGCCTTCTTTAGATAAACATTTTTTAAAACAATTGGGATTGTATAGAATCAGTTCTCTTTTCTATGTCACTGAATTTGGATTCTTTAGCATCCTGCAGTGTTAGTTTTAAATGCTGTGTATATATGTGGTCTTTGGAGGAAAAAAACCTCTGCCATGACAAACACTGCTCCCTTCAGTTCTTGTGCTGACTTTGGAGGTGTAAGCACATCCTGGCAATACTTTCAAGATGCAGCTGAGACTCCAGCCTGCATTTGAACCTTTGGCACATAAATATGGAGCCCTGCAGATTGTCTTGCCAATTCATAAGTTTACGATCTTCTCATTCTAGGGCTTGAAAGCTGCCTCCCTGTTTTTCCCAGGAGGGAATGCCACCTACCAAGGAGAAGAAGTGAGAGTCAAGAGGGTGGAGAAACTCCTGCACAAGTATGACAATGAAACTGAGTGGAGACAGAATGTGGACACAGTCATGAAGTGGTTCCATGAAGATGACCTTGACTTTGTGAGCCTTTACTTTGGGGAACCGGACTCTACCGGACACAAATATGGCCCAGAATCTCAGCAGAGGAAAGATATGATCCGCCAGGTGGATCGGACAGTGGGCTATTTGAGACAGCGCATCGCAGAGCATGGCATGAACTCAGTACTCAACCTAGTCATCACCTCTGACCATGGCATGGAAACGGTCATCAAAAAGGATGAAATTCACCTCCTCCAAGTAGCAAACTTCTCATTCCAGGACATTCAGTTTGAGCTGGTTGATTATGGGCCACAAGGCCTCCTGCTGCCAAAACCTGGGAAATTAGAACAAGTTTATGAAGCCTTGAAAAATGCCCATCCCAAGCTTCATGTTTATAAGAAGGAGGAATTCCCCAAAAGATTCCATTATGCCAACCACATTCGCGTCACACCTCTCGTGTTGTATGGTGACCCTGGCTATGTGATCCATGGGGTACAGTGTTCTCTCTACCTTGTTAACGCCAAGCTTTTTATCTCTCTTTACTTATGTGGCTTTCCATTTCATGCTTGGTAAACATAAAGAAGCTTCTTAAGAAAGACAAAGGGGAGGGTCACCTAAAATATCAGTCCAAGGCATTTTGCTTGGAATTATCCCAGGGGGATTCTTTTTATTCAGCAGCGTTTTTCGCACAGCAATCTCTGCCATCTTGGATGGTGCTAGCCAAAGCATGCAGCTTCGTTGTGTGATACAACACAGAGAACCCTGTGCATATTTGTCACACTCTGTGACAGTCTTCCCAAGCCATCTAGATTTTTTAGATTTTTAGATTTTAGATAATAAATAAAATCTAAATCTAAAATTCCCAAGCCATCTATCATTCAAATGTTTTGGAATGTGCCAGACTTCCCAATGGCCAAGGCTATTTAGGAATTCTGTGCATTACACCGTAATGCCAATAGATTTGGAAAACATCCATTGGGAATTACAACATTTTATGCAGGAAGTGACTTTGGGAAACATTTTGGAATTTGCCTCTATATTCCTAGTTGCAACTATTTTTCTCTTTATTTGAAAAAGCATTCAGCACATCCTATTAACCCACTTTGCAAGTATTTCTGAAGAAACATACATAGGAGTGTCTTGCTAATCATTATTGCAGCAGCCAAGGGATCCTGCTGAATCCAGTCATCACAAGTTCAGGGATCCTAAGTCTCAGAATTCATATTTTCCTTCTGAGCACTGCTATTTTGAAATGAAGAACTTCTACAATGTGGCCAAGCAGGCTAGTGACTTGCTTTCTGTCTCAAAAATTACTTGACCAGCAGAAATTTTCTATCAAAGGTGTTCCTGCCAGATGGAACAAACATAACATCCCCCAGTGAAATGTTTATGAGCTGGAACAGAGCCCGTTCTGGATCTATTAAATCCAGAACTATTCCATTTTTCAATCGGAATCCATCAATTAAACAAGAGTAAAGCTGGCATGAGGAACGTGGTGGCTCAGTGGCTAAGACGCCAAGCTTGTCGATCAGAAAGGTCGGCAGTTTGGCAGTTCAAATCCCTAGCGCCGTCTAACAGAGTGAGCTCTCGTTAATTGTCCCAGCCTCTGCCAACCTAGCAGTTCGAAAGCATGTAAAAATGCAAGTAAAAAAATAGGAACCACTTTGGTGGGAAGGTAGCAGCGCTCCATGCGCCTTTGGCATTTAGTCATGCTGGCCACACAGCCACAGCCACAGAGATGTCTTCAAACGACGATGGCTCTTTGGCTTTGAAATGAGCACCACCCTCTAGAGTTGGGAATGACTAGCACGTTACCTAAAGCTGGCATAGCTAATTTCAATCCACTTGCACTTTTGCTTTCCAGTAAGTTCAAAAGCCCAGCCAAACCATCTCTCCAGTTCTGCACTGATTAACACAAACAATAATATAGTTGCCAACCTTGTCTCTCTCTTATCTGCCAGGCAAGGGGGTTGTGCAACTAAAGAAACTGAAAGTATCAACATTCCTAGTTAGCATGAATTATCTACTTAGCTTCAAATAGATCCCTTTTTTTCATTATCATTACAATCTCTCTGTATGCAGGTTTGTTCAAGAAATAAGAAATAAGAAACACCTGCTTGTCAATTACACCACAGAGAGGAGCCATGCTCTTTTTATTTATTAATGTACTATTTCTATCCATATTTTTCATCCAATTGTTGTTGTTGGGAAGATTTTTATTAATGACATGTAAAAGTTGAGTCACTGGGGGGAGAAATCCTGTTCTTTCAGTGAAAGGCCAATGGCAACTGATGAGCTGTAGCCTTCCCTTCTTTTTCAGAGAGTGAAAGTCCAGTTCAACAAAGGAGAACACGGCTTCGACAACGAGGCTATGAATATGAAGACAATCTTCCGAGCTGTGGGACCAGCTTTCAAGCAAGGCCTGGAGGTGGAGCCTTTTGAAAGTGTGAATATTTATGCCCTCCTTTGCAAACTCCTGAATATCACACCTGAACCACACGATGGATCCTTGGATGTCACCCGGCACATGCTTGTCAAAGACTCAGGTCTGTTGGTTTCTGGTTAGCTAACACTACAATCCACCAATTATTCAATGAACGGATTCAGTCCCAAAAAGATTAATTACATATCCATCAGAGAGACAGGGTTATAAATTGTCAATGATGTACCTTAATAGTCCCTTATGGAGGCTGAAGGTCCCTAAAGAGTTTGCTCTTTTCTCTTTTTTATTTAAGTAGCAGCCGTCTCCACAATCTTTATAAATTGTACATTGATGATATCAAACCCCAAAGGAATTGTTTTTTTTTAACTTATCAGACAAGAGGTTGTAAGGTAAAAAGAGAGTCGCTTTCAAATATTTTCCTCCCCAATTTCATTGGCTTGCCTAGCCTACTTATAACCCCTTTCAGTTTATTCCAGCATCAGTGAAACCAAGAGTGGGAAGGAAAGGGAAATCCAGTAAATCTTTGCCAATTTCACAAAGTAGCACTAGGAGAGACCAGGGAATGTCTCTGATTATTATTCAGTATTTTATTGTTATGATGGAACCATTAATTGTCCTCTAATCCACTTATGGCACTGATTGGAATTTGATGCACGATGGAAAGAAGTGTTTCCCTGCAATTGCAAGGCCCATGATGGCAAACCTATGACATCTGAGTGATGTTGAGTTGGCCACGCCCACCCGGTCACATGACCATCGAGTCACGCCTACCAGCTGGTCATTAGGGCGGAGAACCGGTTGTTAAATTATTTGAATCCCACCACTGGGTTGTACATGTATGCGCGGAGGGGCACAGGTGGTCACACATGCATGAGCAGTGGGGTGGGGGCGCACAGGGGGGTGGGGCATGCAGGGGGTGTTGCGCCCGCTTTTGGCATGCGACAACAAAAAGGTTAGCCATCACTGTGCTAGGCTGTGTGAAAACTGTTTATAAAGGGCTTATAAAGGAAGAAATACTAATATAGTATACAAAACATATGAATGTCTATGAAAATCAATTGGATCAGATTCACATGTTCACACTCTCCCCCACCTCCAACTTGTCACTACTTTGTGTGTGTTCTAGGATGGAGGACAAGAGAGTGACAGGTTTTTCTGGTGCAATAAATATATGCAGTCCCCTCTCAATTTCTAAATTCTGGAAGAAAAGTCCTGTATACAATCAGCTTAATTCTTGCATAATTTCAGATGCTGGGTATGTGTGTCCAAATCACACTTTAAACAAGCCAGAGTCCTAATTTCACCTGAAGGAGTACGAAGGAGCAAGAAACTGGAGCATAGTAGCATACCTTATAAACTGTAGGGAGAAACCATAATTCCAATTATGGGCTTTTGTTTTCCAAATTCGTATCATGCCAATATATGCTGAGCTAAATTTGGTGTTCACAACTAATGAGCTCCTCTGCTCGCTGCCAACCAAGTGCACCTTTGATCTGAAACCAATTTCTCATATTTTATTCAAGCCATCGCTTACCCTTTCGCTTGTAGGTGATCTCTTACACAAATACCAGTAAAAATTTGACAGCTTCTTATCTTTTGTTATATCTCATGGGCAACCCCCAAATCTACCTCCCCACTTTCCTGGAGCAGGTCAACCTTTCCCTGTGGGCTATCAGATTCATCACAATTGCTGTCCATTGAGAGATTTGCGACCAAGAAGATAGAAAAACAAATTTCCTAACCTGTCAAGGCGGGGGGGGGGGGATTATAGGGGTGGGTGAGAAGAGAGAGCAAAGGTGTTATATGCTGCAGCGGTAGCAGAGAGCCCCCTGCTGGTCAAATTGTAGCACCCAACCTAGGTGTTGTCCAATTAGAATGTGATGCTTGTCAGAATGAAAACAGAGCTGCATAATTGGGTCTGGAAAGGAAGCACACATTTGAGAGTTCCCTTATCAATACTAATTAATTAATTACTGTTCAGTGTGTAGCTAATATTTGAAAAAAAGGAGTAACCACCTTGGACAGAAACATCTTTTATTTCCTTGTGTATAAATCCATCAATAATAAATCCATTTAGTGCACAGATTCAGATTTACAGAACCAGTATGGAAATACTAAGTGTAACCTGGACTTTACTCTAAGTGTACACGGTACCACATGCCTGCCAAACATGTCAGCCTCAGGTGTAGCTCTTTCCAGAGTAGAGCCAGTTTGGCACAGAGGCAAAAACTGGGCTAAATTCAAACCCATTATTATGGAGGAAGTAGACAGGATATTGGAGCTGTAAGCTCAGCCACCTCAGTGTTAGATCCATGTCCCTGTTAAGCTTCCTGGGAGATGACATGTGGTTGGCTCTGGGTGATGGTGAGATAGCATTGCATTCTCTCCTCAAGATTCCTTCGCTTCACTCAACCATTTTGGATTATTTTTGTCCTACTCCATCGTTCCCATTTTAGGTTTTTTATTTCAATAGCTATCAAGGGCCCTGGAGGAAGCAGGTGTTCTGTGCCCCTTTCAGTTGGATTTCAGGCCTGGGTATGGGACCAAGATAGTCATGGTCATGCTTTTTGGAGTACCGTATTTTTCGGAGTATAAGACACACCTTCCCCCACCCTAAAAAAGGGTGATAATTTGGGCGTGTCTTATACACCGAATGTAGTCCTACCCACCCACCAGCCCCAACCCTTTGGCCTCTGCCTCCCAGCAATTTACCTCCTTGCAGCAAATGGGGTCTTGCAGAGGCTGCAATAGGCTATAATAATCCCTACAGCCTGAAACAGCTGATGATTGGAAGAAATTGAAAGTGAAACTTGCTGTTTGCTCAGGCAAATTGTTGGGAGGCAGAGGCAGATTTTTTTTCCTTGTGGTAATCAGGCTATTTGCTGCAAGGAGGTAGGTCAATAATTATAAATGCCTACAGAATGTTCAAATTATTAGACTTATTTTTTAAAGATTGCTTTATTATTGTTCTAGACCGCTTACAAAAATGAAGAAGCTTTTTAAAATAAATGCTTGATCTGAAGAGGCCCAGTGCTATTGTAATCTTCTTTTAAATAGCAGAGAATAACGTATACTTCCAGAAAGCCACATCAATTTTAACAGCATCTGTACAAGTATAGTCTGAAATGTAACACTACAAATAGTGTACATTGTCCGTACTGTTTGTTGTTTGTTGCAAGGAGGCAAATTGCTGGGAGGCAGAGGCAGATTATTTTCCCCTTGTTTTCCTCTCCAAAAGCTAGGTGCATCTTATACTCCAGAGCATCTTTTACTCCGAAAAATACGGTACTGCAAATGCTCAGATCAGCTCTATTGCCTGCTT